AAAACGTAAAATTTGAACTTACTAAACTTTAAAAACTAGAAATGTTGCTTTGGCAACTAAACAAAATAAGTTTAAGTCATAGTACTAGAATTACTCTAAAACTACAACTTAAATAAAAAAAATTAATTACAGCTATAAAAAAAATTATAATAATAAAAATGATAAAAGCACACAACAAAATTGTCCTAAAAGGAAAACAAAAAAAATATAAAAATTAAATCTAATACCAAATATTAAGTATACAAATAATACTAAAATAAGAATGCATTGGTCTTTTGGACATATATGCTTTGAATAAATCAGTAATCATCATTGTGGCCTCTTACTGTAATTTTGCCCAGGTCAATGCCGTAGTTGAGAGAGTTCCAGGCACATTGCTTGTAGTTGGGTTTCCACGGCTCTTCAAACCTCTCCGTCACACATTCACCCTTCTCTCCTTTTGCACCATCCCGGCCTGGTAGACCGGGAGTACCTGGAATTCCGTTCACTCCTGGATTTCCGTCCCTTCCCGGGGTGCCTGCTGGACCCTGGAGGCAGCTGGAATACTGAAAACATACAGGATTCAACAGGAGCTTGATATTTTTGGCTTGATATTAAACAGCATATTTTGTAGCTTGAAGTGCCTGTAAGAGGTATTAACAATCTCATCTAACACTAGTCAGCGTAATGCATCTGGAATGAGCTCTTATGGTGTGGTCTCTGGTTACTGATGAAAATACCATGCTATGGCTAATACTTAATATTTTTGCACAATGTTGCTAATGGGCATGGAGAAGTAGCCTATACTGGGACACTGCCTGCATTAAACCTGGTTGGATGGAGACTGAATCATCTGTCCATTCAGACTGTAACACACGGTTCTTTATTACTGTGATTCATTATCAGTTGTTCACAGAGTCTCAGATAAACGGCTTAAACGCGGATACGGCATTCTTTGACAGTATGGGAAACTTAAACATGTCTGTGAAGTTTCAGCTCAAAATACCCCACAGATCATTTATTATATCATTTTGAAGCATGCTGTTTTCGTGCATGTCTCTTTAAATGCAAATGAGCTGCTGCTCCCCGCCCCCTTTTCCAGAATAGGACAGTGCCATTACAGCTAGTATCTCAGATCTCAAAAAACATCGGTTTGGTTTTGATAATCATGTATCTCGCACTGAAATCATGCGTTTTAAAGCCATATCAGTTTAAACTTCT